GTTGGGCACATGTTTTTCCAGACTTAAAGAAAATATAAACACATATTATAGTTGACTTATGATCAGCATACAAAGGCCATACAGAATAGTGGGGTCAAGTGGTATCGAGTGAAAGAAGAGAGGGAAAAAGGGAAGAAAAGTCCATCTGCTATCACATTCCTTATCCCATTCCTATAATATTTGGATATTTATCAGATAGAAGAGGCTTCATGGAAACATCAAACCATGCTAAGCTTCTATGGATAACTGCACCTAATTTCAAGTAAACTAAAAGCAAACTTTAGACACTGTTTATACCTTGTAGAATGATATCTATAATTAAAAGTTCTTTAAAATTACACTAAATTGGACTTAGGGGAAAAAAAAGAACTGACACTTTTAGACAACAACCCTCAAGGATCTTGTCTCTCTTCATCAGGCCACAGATCAACAACTGTGAATTTACAGACTGAGAAGAAGGGAGAGAATGTACAGGAATGTTTATGTTGGCCAAAAATTCATAATTCATAGTAAATGACCAATAATCATTAGAATGTTAAACTGGCCTAAATGAGCAGAATCATGGTTAAATAATTATGAGGCGTATCCTTTAGGTAACAAAAAACTATTCAAATTAAAAATCTAAAAAGAAGCTAATAAAAACAAATGGCTCTAAGCAAGAAAAAAAATAATTTTTAAAATTCCCTAGGCTAAAGGCATACACACACACACACACACACACAGACACACACACACGTGTGGCTGGTAAATACATAGTAAGCTGGTAAAAATTTAGGTCAAAAGTTGGCTTAGCCCCCTGGACATTTTATTTCAATGATCATCCATTATAATTGCAAAAAAGAGTTACTATTGCAAAAAAAGTATATATGAAAGCTTTTACATTCCTTTTATTTGAATATCAAAGATTTAATTATTTTATTCCACATTCATTGTCCAATCATATTAAACACTCTAAAAGTTTTCTTTGGGCTACTTTATGCTGATAATTTGGTTTCTGAAATACAAAAAGGAAATAAAGAGTAGGGCTACAAAAACCAGTAACTGAATGTTACCTTATCTAGTTGTTAAAACTATATGAAATAATTATAGGTAAAACGCCTAACAAGTACCAGGAAATTACTAGCTGCTAAGTAAATGATAATTATTATTAAATAAGAAAGTATCAATGACAAAAGTTAAGAGCAAGATCTTTGAAGTTAGAGATAAAGGTTCAAAATCTACCACTTAATAGCTATGTGATCTCAGCAAAGATAAAGCCTCCTTCTGTTCACCTGTAAATGGGTTTGGGGCAGATTATGAGATAACATACCTAAAAGTTTAGCACAGTAAGGTACACAGGAAGCACTGGATTATTAATAACTATTTACTTTCAAACACCCCCTTTTCTGAAATCATAGCATTTCGTATATATCACTGTTGCTAATCTTTATCACGTTGGGTTATTGATCTGAGTACCTACTTCTGTTTTCCCAGAAGAGAGAAGTTCTTTGAGGCAAAGATTTCATTTATTCATGATTACATTCCAAGAACAGTGCCTATTATGGCACCCAATAATTAGCCTCAGCTCACGAGCCTGGCAAACTCACAGCCATCTTTAAAAACTAGCACATGCATTTCCTCTTCAGTGCAGCTTTCCTTGTAATAACAAACCATTCCTATGGGCTTACGCACGACAGCCACCGTGCCATGTGCTTTAAAATGCATGATCACTTTTAAGCCTCACTACACCAAGAAAGATAGGTAAGATTATTACTCCCCATATTTCAGTAGAGGAAAGACACTTAGATCTAAGTTCCATAACTTGCACAAGATCATTAAGTAGGTGATGGAGCCAGAAATCACACTCAGCTTCCTTCCTGAGCGATCTTAATCACTATTCTATACTCCTACCCCCAACAATAATAGTGATGTACTAAGCTCTCTCAATGTGCAAAGCACTGTGATAAATACTTTAGATGCATTATTTTATTGAAGTCTTAATAATATTAAGAGTAGATACTATTACTATCCCCAACTTACAGAAGACAAACCTAAGTTAAACACCCTGCCCAGGGTTACACAACTAAAAAGTACCAGTGCACTTAGGCCTTATCCTAGAACTTACAGCCACTACCCACACCACTTCCTCAATACCTTGTGTCCTGCTTTCTTTCACCCATGTACCCAGCCAGGACTTACCTTGGTCCTTACTTTCATCACAAGGTATTGTATCACTTATTGACAAGTCAATCTCCCCCTTATGAGAATGTATGCCTCTTATTGTATCTCTAATGTAGTAAGTATGTCTGCACACAAAGTGAAGACTCAATAAATGTTTGCAGAACATATTTCTAATCAATCATTTTAAAACTTTATAAGCTGTGATATCCTTTCTTCAAATAAAATATTATTTAGAAGTCCAATGTTATTAAGAGAAAAAATATGGTGCTGGGTGGGTTAAGCAGCCCAGAGACTCCATTCAGTCCTTCACTCACCCCTCAACAAAAATTTGTGCTGCAAATTCACTTACTTCACAGGAGCTCGAGCATAAACCTGAAGCCAGTCAGGAATTTCTGCGGTATGATATGGATTTGCAGGTACCAGAAGGGACTGATTTCTTTCAGTTTGCTGTGGCTGGTATGTCACAGGAGGAGGTTGATCATACCGAGGTACACTAAGAAGAAAAAACCAGACATTCATTAGGATAAAGGCCCTAAATCTAAACAAGAAATTAGAAAGAATAATACTTAAGTGTTTTGCAATGAGCCTCTTGCCCAAACTGAGTTCCTTCTACCACCTAAAAAAAACAAAAAGGTCTGGCTTTTTTTTAAATGATACTACAGGGGAATTAAAACCCACCTTCTCTTGGAAACTAGTAGGTCACTAGTGATGGATATAAACCTGAGTTAAATCTTTACATCTTTTTAAGGGATTTCTTCTGGCTGGTATTTACTCTTTTCAAGGATGACTTCAAAGGAGGCTATAAAAAACTTGGAGCTAGGTTGTAACCTTCATACGGAGGCTTTACACTAGAATCATAAATTCCAGTAATTACTAGTATTTAAAAGCTGTAAATTTATGTTGGAAAGGTTAAGTTTCTCTCAGAATAACAATGGATATTTTCTTCCTCCCTTAGGTTGAAAAGGGAGTTCAGAATATGTAGTGTAGTAGGAGTGATTGTGCTTAAAATATCGACATTAACTGTAATATTTCCTTTTTGCTTTTACCACCTTAACAGAGCATAGGGGAGTTAAGAGTTATTAGAACCTATTTTGAATCAGACTTTTAAAAAAAGACCATGCTTTTAAGTAATTTTAAAGGTCTGCGTATGTTGGGGCAAGGGAGAGAACAGCAAAGCAGGGAGGGGGCTGTTAACATGGGGAAAAAAGATAAGGAGAGCATTGAACCACCTGAAGGTTAAATATCGAATTCTGGGGGGCCAAAATGGTCTATTCCAGTCTTAGAGACAAAACTGGAAGGGCCTGCCTCCCAACATTAAAATTTATGTGTCTATCAGGAAAGGTCATTACAATACTAAACCGGGATTAAAGTAAGTGTAAAGACTGTGGTTAACAGTTTAAAAATCAATGTGCAAATGGCACTGAATTTTACCTTCAATTCTTCTTTCATAAGTAGGTGCAAAGTGAAATATTCCTTAATAGCACAATTGGGGGGTGGGGAAAAACTGAGGTTTTGAAGTCAGATATGCCTGCGGGGGCAGGTGAGTTTAACCTCAGTCTGGCCACTCAGAAATTGTATTGAATGTAGGCAAAACTGCTGCACTTCTCTAAGCCTCAGCCTCTTTATTTGTAAAATGGAATAAATTCATACAAAAGATGATTGTTCTCAGGATTAAATGAGCTAATATAAGTCAAGAGTTCTGTATAAGCATTAGCACTATATAGACAAACAGCTATTAATACTACCTACCTATATGAGCTTAAAGAAGGTGTTTATTCTCTCCTGTTTAATGTCTATCAAGTTGCTGAGAAAAGCAAATTAATTAGGAAAATGCTTTGTAAACTATAAAAATTCTTTACTACTATAAGGTTAATGATGATGAACAGAAAAGTAAGCTCAATATACTCTCAAATCTGGCTGCCTGGACCACAAAGTCCTGCCACCTGGTGAAACTGTGGCCACATTTTTTCCCCCATCATTCATTCATTCAATATCTGCTACACTCCCACTATGTGCCCAGCTCTGTGTTGGGCGCTGGGGACAAAGCAGGCATAAGAGGGACTGACTCATCCTTGCCCTTGGGCGGGGATCATGATCGGGTGGGGAAGGGGACTCTGAATTATCCCCATATCACAGGCCTGAAAACGGAGCCCAGAGGGGCATCAGCTTGACTGAGATGGTACAGAGTAGGTGAAGGGACCACAGCCCAACACAGGCAGGGTGGTTGGTTTCATTCTTTGGAAAGGACAACCTCACAGTTGTTCAATAAACCCTAAGTGCCACTAAATGGAATCACTGGGATAAAAACCTGCTTTTTAAAGTTGAATAAATCCAAATATGTAAAATGATTAAAACATAATGATAAAATTTTGTTTTCTAGGTAATATTAAAATGTATTTTCATAATAAGTTTAATGATTCTAAAAATGCAAATGTCTGCTATAATCAAATATCTGTGTTATGCTAGATGATACTAAACATCAATTTACATGCTGATGGTATTCTACCCATTTTTAATGTTACAGTTCAGTTCTTGAAAGCTCAAATGTAGTTAATTGGAAATATTATACTTGCAACTTCATTACTAAACTAATATTAGCTTTTTATGTACTTTGAAATCCGGTGTGCCTTTCACATTTTCAGCACACCTCAATTTGGATTACGTGCTCAATAGCCACATGTGACAAATGGCTACAGTATTCAGAGGGCTAGAAGTCTGGCCATAAGCAAGGTCTACTGATAAGCCCAGCATCCATCGAAATAGCCCAAAGGATCACTTGCTACACTTATCAAACAGATCTGGGGACGTTTTGTGTAGTTCTAATTTTCACTTTCGTGCCTGGTAATAGTAAGAAACAGAACACAAAATATCTAAAAATGAATAAAAACAGCAAGATGTTACAATTCAAAAGTATGTTTTGACATATTAGGTGGCAGGTCTGTATTACTTATAGGAATTTAAATGTAAAGAGACATGTATTATTTATTTCAATTTCTGGGTATCTACAACAAAAACATTCTGGCATATTGAAGCAGAGAATCTGATAAGAATACTGATCCCGTTTTTGAGGTTCCTTAAAGTTGTTTTTTTGTTTTCATTATAAAGTCATTCACTATTAAATACATGTTCAGAGAAAACTATCATAAACTTTGAAAAATAAAGCTTTCAAATATCAAACTTCAGAATGCCTTTCTCTTTGATGAAAATATGAGCTCAAAATCTAACATTAGACAATCTCAAAACAAAAAGTTGAAAAAAAGGTAGATACCTAGGAGCACAGGGATGCCTATACTGAGCCTTCTTATTTGTGTGATCTACGTAATAGGTTCCAAATTCTGATGACTCAACTCGCTCCCATCCTGGAGGAAGTCCTTCTCGCTCAAGAGGATGGCTCCAATGAGTTGTATTTGTGTTGTGATCTATATAATATTTTCTCCCTCTCATTGTCCAGTCCACAGACCAGCCAGGAGGGAGGGGTAAATCTTCAGAGCCATGGTTAGTTAAATTTCCTAAAGATGTAGCAGCAACTCTCCCAATACCTGAGAAGAAAGAGAAAAAGGTAAGAAATAGAACAATTATTCAAAGCTAAACAAAAATGCTACTTGAGAAAGTTACAAAATTAACTATCTTGAGTATATACTCTTCTGTTAAAATTCATAATTTTATCATTATAAATAAAATTCTTCATAAAATTAGCCCATATTACTAATATTTAATTACAAAAAGTCTCCCTCTTTGAAATTAGGTGTTTTTGGTGGAGGTCTCCATCATCAGACCATACAAACATTTAACTACTTGCAAAACTACTTAAGTATAATATACACTGCTAAAGGAAAAGTGAGGAAAATAATATTTCACCTCATTCAAGATTTAATTTTGACATTTCATCTAAAACAGCAAAAATGAACTTGTAAAACTATTTCCCATTTATAATTTCTTAAAAATAATCTGACTGTGCCCCAGAACTAAGTAAGTTTATCAAGGTAGCAGGGTATATGGTTAACATACAAAAATCAATTAAATATCTATATAATGACAATTTGGAAACATTACACTTTTTAACTTATATTATACACACTTATAATAGCTCCAAAAACTCAAACATTTACAAATAAACCTAACAAAATATGTGCAGGATCCGTATGCTGAACACTATAAAACACTGATAAAAAAAATGAAAGAAGCCCTATCATGTTAATGGATTGGAAGACTCAAAATAGTTAAGATGTCAATTCTTCCTGAAATGATCTTTAGGTTTAAGGTAAATCCAATCAAATTCCAGCAGAAGTTTTTGTAGATACAGACAAGCTGACTCTAAAATGTACATGAAAAGGCAAAAGAACTAGAAGAGCCAAAACAATTTTTAAAAGGAATAAAGTTGGAGGAC